CTTCAACTCCCAGAATTCCCCAGCCAACCATGTTGGCTGGGGAATTCTGGGAGTTGAAGTCCACTCATCTTGAAGTGGCCAGGGTTGAGAAACACTGCTTTAGCGAGAGCTTTCCTCCTACCTCTCTTGGCCAGATTGCGTAGCAATAGCAGTTGGAGCAGTGCATCGGCCATCAGTTATTAGAGGGGGGGATTAAATTGTCATTATCTTCCATTTTGGCTCCTGACTGGGGATGGTGAAACAGCCCTGGCATAAAGATTTAGTTTGGTAATAAATGTAAAGAGGTTGATGACCTGCAGGAGACGTGAGTTAAGAAAACTTAATAGCTTTCCCTATCACTGCTTATCTCAATAAAATGGATCTTCCTTCTTCCTAGTAAGCACTGCCTCTGGTTTGTTCTTTCTCCAGCTCCGGCAGAGCAGAGGTTTTATCTCCTTATACATCAGCTCTCGGTTTAGCAGCACTTCAGATGGCCTTTCTGCAAATCCTCAGAAAGGTGGGATTCTTCGGTATCTCTCCAACCGCTTCTACGACATTGAAACGATTGTCGATATCACCCAGAAGTTAAAGAGGTGGAAAATGGAAAAACAAAACAAGTATGTGTCCCTGGGGGATATTTTGCCCAGGTTTGAGAATTTGGGATGGCAGATAAAGTTTTCCCTGTAATTGGTTCCTGCATTGGCCAGAAGTGGATTAGATCAGTGTTTCTCAACCTTAGCCACTTTAATATGTGTGGACTTCAGCTCCCAGAATTCCCCAGCCAGCATGCTGATTGGGGAACTCTGGGAGTTGGTCCATGCATCTTAAAGTATGCTGGCTGGGGAATTCTGGGCGTGGTAGTCCACACATATTAAAGTGGCTGAGGTTGAGAAACACTGGATTAGATGACATTTGAAGCTCTTCTACAATATTAAAATTAATGTATGCCTTTGGTCTAATGGAGGGTATTTATCAGTGAGATCTAGCTGTACTTGGAGTTGATTCAAATTTTAAAATAAAATACCTTCAGCTGGTTCTGTACTGTTGCATAGATTGATCTCCATAATCTCTATGTAGAGATGGCTTCAGATAGAGATGATTTCAATTTAGATTCCCAGCGGAGCTGGATGGTAGAGAACTGGAAGAGTGCCACTGGGTTGGAACGCACGCTTGTCTGGAGTAGCTGAAAAAAGATCCTCTTTTTTCCTCTCACTTCTTGCCTGCACATGAACTGAAATGAATCCCTTTTAAGTCCTGGATGCAGTTCAAGGTGCTGGTAGTTATCTCTAGAGCCGTTCGTGGCTCAGGGCCTGGAGGCCTACAGGAACATCTTTCACAGAAGCCGCTGGTGTCTGGTAAGACCTGGCCTGGGCAGCTTGAGGCCCCCTAGCCAGAAAATGCCACGTTAAGGAACCTTGGAGACAGTCATTCTCTGTGGCTGCCCTGCCTCTTGGAGGAGCCTTTCCTCTGAAGTCCACCCAACCCCGGAACCCGTTAGTTTTTCCGCAGGCTCTGGGCTGGGGAGCGGTGCTGGTCGCGATCCACTTTCTCATACTGACTTGATTTAGACTGACCCACGTCTGTAGGCCATGCAGTTGTTGTATCGTTTCCCTGATGTGGGCTGTTTTAACGCTTCTTTGTCATTATTTTTCCCTCTCTGTTGTTGGTTTAATTTGTATTTGTTAGTGATTGAAGCAGCTTAAAATGGAGGGAGGGAGGGAAGGAAGGAAGGAAAGAAGAGGGAGGGAGGGAGAGAGGGAGGGAGGGAGAGAGGGAGGGGAAGAAGAGGGAGGGATGAAGGAACAGAGAGAAGGAGGGAAGGAAGGAAGAGAGAGAAAGGATAGAGGGAGGGAGGAAGGAATGGAAAGGAGGGAGGGAGGAAAGAAGGGAGGAGGAGAGAAAAAGAGGAAAGGAGAGGGGAGGGAGGGAGAGAGAGAAGGAAAGAAGGAAAGAAGGAAGGATTGTGCTGACCTCGCTGCGGTTGCCTTTCCAACACCTTCTACCCTTTAACCTTCTCTGATTCTTGTTCCTTATCCTGAAAGCCCCCCAATTCGTTGTGGCAGCTTCCATAACCAAAGAGAGTTTCTCAAGGAGGTTTTTGATCTCCTCCACCCTCAGGCATGATGTTGCCCTGCATCAGCGTTACGGCGATGATATCGGAGCTGCCCTCTTTGTCCTGAAACTGAAAGGAAGCATTCGGTATGCAATGCCTATTTCGTCCAGGAGCGCATTGTGGGAGGGCCGTGAGTATCTTCTGCTCCCCTCCAGCCACCTGGATTCATGCTCAGTTTCTCCTTTGATGCACTTTTACTTTACTTTACTTTACTTTTTACTATACTACGCCACGCCACGCCACACTACACTACACTACCCATGGCGTGTTCTTTCACTTTTCATTGAAAACTGCTTGAGCCCAATATCTGTGGTCTTGAAATTAGGTGCAGAACTAATTCAGCCCCTTCCACAGGGAGGATAAACAGATGTTAATTCTGTATACTGGTGGTAGACTGGGGACAGGGCGGGGGAGAGAGCCTAGCATGTTAGGAACTGCTAGATTTTCTAACTGAATGAACAGGGGCAATGAGTTACTAAATATAAATGCTGGCTGAGGATTCTGGGGATTGTAGTCCCAACACATCTGGAAAGAATTGGATCGCATGTTTGCTTTATATGGGCTGGTACTGTGCGGTACCCGAACCTTTTTGTAACTCTGGGGTCCTCTCCAGAATTAAACAGAGCTGAAAATTGGTGGAATGATTTTCATCCATTTGCGAGGAGAGTAACACATGCAAATTGTAGTGTAACTTCTAAGGAAATTATAACCTACCTTCTAAACACTACAAATGAAAAAAATCCAAGCCCTGTTCATCTTCAGGACATAACCATCCATATTTTGTACCTTCCCTCCACTTACTGCATTCCTTTCCCCACCAGAAATGTGAAATGCAGCTCCCAGCCACTAATATTTGGCCTACCCTGATTTCTGAGCCCCCCTGACCCCTCCAGGGCCTTGTGGGTTGCCTCTCCCAGCAGCCCAGGCCGGAACCCAAACTCAAGGACAAGAAACATGGAGAGTAGCAATTTGTCAGCATCGAGTTCTGGAGATTTTTTTTTCCCCCACGAAAAGTACATTTATTTTGTTTCAGTTTCCAGGACCAAATGGATTGGTATGGCGAGAACCCCAAAGAGAAAGAAAGCATAGATCTTCTAGATTATCATGGAAAATCCTTGGAAGCAATTGATCTCAGCGGTTCCGTCATCAGTTACCTAGGCCTGAAAAACCTTGGTGAGGAATTGGGCTGCCTTTGGGGCCAGGGAAGATTTGGATGGCAGTGCAATGCCGTATTTGGATGGAGAGATGTGCAAAACCTTTTGCAGTTGAAATACTGTATTCCAACCTGGGATGCTGGACAAGGTCCAGTGTCAAAATGAACTGTTCCAAACACCAATTTTGAGGTTAGCCCACATCCGTGATGCTTGGGATGGCCTGGCCTGGCCTGGCCTGGCCTGGCCAGGCCATCCCAGGTTGGAATATAGCCTGGCCTGGGGTCAAAGTGGCAGTTACGTGGACAAAAGAGTCTCAGGCAGTCTGTGTTTGCATCAAATGGCTTCTGGGTGTGATTCAGGATGCTGGTTATCACCTGTAAAGCCCTCCATGGCACAGGGCCAGGCCACTTGCAAGACTGCCTTTCTCCTCTTGTTTCTGCCGGCCCCACCAGTTCCAGTAGAGAGGGCACGCTCTGGGTCCCTTCTATCAAACAATGCGGTCTTGTTGGATCCTGGAGTTGTGCCTTCTCAGTGGGAGCACCTGCCCTGTGGAACAGCATCCCCTCAGAGATTCAGACGGTCCCAACCCTGTTAGCCATTTGTAATACACTGAAGACCTGGTTGTTTCCCCAGGCGTTTGCGTCAGGAGGCTAGACGAACAATGCTGTTGATGTGTGTTTTTCTTTTGTGAGTGAGGTTCTTGTTTATCCTTGGTGGGGTGTGTGTGTGTTTAATCCTTGCACACCACCCAGAGTCACCAGTGTGAGATGGGGGGAAGGGTATATAAATCATATAAATAATAAATGTGCGTATTTCACGGAGCCAAGACATGCAGCCAAGATGTTTCATGGGGAGGAAACCAGGCTAAGGTCATTCTTGACAGCAGCAGCAGCTATAGGGAGGTAAGAAAGAGGACCCAGTGGGAAGATGGGGCAGGCGGGTGATTTGAACATGTTTGGACAGGTTGGGTAGCAACAGCTTCTAGCAGGGGGTTGAGGAAGGGATGGGGAAGATTGGTGGGGGCACAGGCCATGCAAGGGAGAGGAGAGGGGAGCAGCATCTTTGCCATACATTCCCCTCAAGGCCCCTCTGGAATTAGTCTCAACCCAAACCAGGAATCGCCCATAACAGACTGACCGGAACAGCTCAGCCGAACATCCGAGCCAAAACTTGTTTGTTCCGGGCAAGAAACAAAAGCAGATTTTCTATTAGGTGCACATTTCTAGCATACCTTTAGCGCAGGTGCCTGTTCCAGGGTTTTCCTTCTGCAAAAATAAATAAACAACTGAAGGCCCTGGGTTCAGAACTGGCATTCTGCCTTTTTCTATAAAGGGAAGAAGAGGTTTTAAGGAACCTACAGGGCCCATCACCATTTCCTTCCCCAGTTTTAAAGGAATTCAGTAGCTAAGGGAGTTCTTACAAAAGCTGAAGAAACAGATGCCACCAGTCAGAGGCAATGAAGAATACAAGAACTGCTCTCACACACACAAGAAGTTGAGAAGAACCACCGGTCCATCGTTCTGCTCCCACAATGCCCAGACAGCTGAGTTTGCACAGCTCGCTAAGCCAGAATTGCTGAACACACAGTCGAAAAAGCCACAGTTGACTTGGATGGGTGGGCGGGTGGGTGGGTGGATTTTATATTCCTATTTTATAGGAAACTCCGTTCATTCCCATGGGAACACCTTTGTGGGGTGTGATGGGCAAGAATGACGGGCTCAAACATCACTTGCTGAACTTCCATGGCTGGGGGTAGACTCGAACTTGTGTCTCTCCACTCCCTGTCTGACACCTTAACCACTGGCTGTGGAATAGCACACATTCATAGTCTGTGCCACAAAAACTTTGACTACATCTAACGTTTCTGCCCGCAATGAGCTATAGGACAGTTTGCAACCTTTGCCCTGTGTTTTAATGCCAAGTATACACTTTTTCCAGATTTTTACATGTGGTTGTGCATTTGAGGCTGGGGCCCACTTTCAGCCTCCTTTTCTCTTGGATCCTCCCACAGTGAACCTGAAAGCCCTGAAGCATTTGAACCTGACCAGATGCCCCTTCATCGATGACTGGTGCCTGGGCCTGCTGCACCCCTTCGCGGGCACCCTGCAGAGCCTGTCCCTGGCTGGCTGTTCCCGGGTCACCGAGAAAGGGCTGGCTTGTCTCCACCACCTGGAGTAAGTGCAACCAGTCGGTCGGCCTGCGAGCATATCAGCGTGTCTCCATTGTAATGCATCGTTCCAGGGTTGGAAAAAGAGAGAAGCAGAATTGGAAGTTTGCCAGGGAGTGCCAAGTTCCATAGATTGTGGCACTTCTGGAGCATGGGTCATAGAATCCTAGGGAACTTAGAGGTCATGTATTCCAGCCCATTATTCAGCATCCATTACAACATACTCAGTTTGGATTTTGAATTCTTCCTGCATAAACTTGGCCCGTAAGCCAGAGGGGTACAGTCTGGTGCCCCTGGGTGATATTTGGCTTCTGAAAATTTTGGGAGAAACACTGAGTTGGTGGGGGGGAGGTAAAAAAAAATCAAGATAGCACCCACACCTGTGCAATTGAAGCCCCACCCTTTTTTCATGTGACACATGGAAGGGGGCAGGGCTTCGATTGCACAAGTGCTGTCTTGAGCCATCCACCCCACCACCACAGACCAATCCCTAGAAATCTTCAGGAATTATTACTAAATTATAATATTTATTGTGCCCAAAGGGGGAAATTGCTAAACCCACAGCACAAAAGTTCCATATGGGTGGTATTGCATTTCAATTAGATTGAAATGAAAATAGACTGAAATCAAATGTAGGTTTTGTCATGGCATCGCCCACTGTTTTTCGAGTGAAGCCAGTAACCTCCCAGATCTCAGGCATGATTTCAACCAAGTGGATCAAAAAACCAGCCAAATGTCTTGAAAGGATGAGTCAGGCAGATCCAGCTGGAAAATCAGATGATCCCAAAGAGAGGCTCTGAATCAGAGGCACGGCCTCTGAGGCTCTAGGGAGGGGGCGGCCTTCGCAGCTGAGTCGTCTTTTTAGCAAGTTGTTTTAATCCATTCCTTCACCCACTTAATTGACTATATTTCAGCTTTCTTTAAAATTGGCTCCTTGGCGATGAATCAACTAACACTTTAGCAAGTTGATCTACCTCTTTACAAAGGTTACAAGCTAGTTTAAGCAGAGCGTAATTTCAACAGTAGGAACTTTATTTCTTTAAGGTGCCTTTCAGGACAACTTTGTGTGTGTGTGTGTGTGTTTATGCTGTTAGAGAAATGATTAAAGGGGCTTTGACTAGGTTTCTTTTTAACTGGTTTCGTTTCTCTGTTGTGTTTTTGTTTATGGGTGACTTTGGCCCAGTCTCTCTCTCTCTCTCTCTCTCTCTCAGCCCAACCCACCTCACAGGATTGTTGTTGTGGAGAAAATAGGAGAGAGGAATATTAGGCATGTTCACCGCCTTGAGTTATATATAAAAAGGTGGAATAAAATATAATAATAAAAATAAGTGGTGGTATACATCTGTTCAATAAAATAAGTAAAAGAAATCTCCCACAACAGTTCAGACAATGATACAGTACAGTTGCTTTTCAAGTTGCTCATCGTGGCAGGCTTATCTTTTCAGAGAATAGGCAGGAGGCAGGAAACCCTTACATTAACTCTCTTTATGTTGCTCTTGCAGAAATTTGCAGCGCTTAGATGTCTCCAACCTTCCTTCTGTTCCTCACCGACTGTTAATTCGGATTCTCCTGGAAGAAATGTTGCCCCGGTGTTATATTGTGGGTATGGATGACAGTGAAAACACGGACTTTCCCACCGAACAAGAAAAACAGAGGATCAGCTGGACACCCAGCAAGATCTCCACTTGAACTGAAATGGACAGAATTGTAAGGCTCTCACACTGCCTTTGAAACAACAGTTCGTTAAATTCTTCCGTTCCCACTCTGCTCCTCATTGATACACGGACACAGTTATTTTAAAGCAGACTCCCAATGTTGTTGGCCAAGCTAGCTGTGGATTATAGGAGTCAGTTGACACATTTGATATGGCAGCAGGTGGGGAAGTTCTAAAGAATGCCCATTGGTTCATTTTCCTGCATAATAAATGGAGTTCTCCCTATTTGGGTGGGGAGTTAATGCTGAAGATATTCCTTTCCCACTTTTTGAGTGAGGTGACTTAATATATCAGAAGTTTTTTAAAAGTATCTGTAATTCCATGTTGGATTTAATCGATTGAAAGGATCTGCTAATGTACCTTATTACCAAATGGCCTGTACGAGTTTTGGACATCAAACAGCTAGAGACACACAGAGGAAGAAGAATGCTCTCAAAGAGGGCGGATCGTAACTTTTTGATTTGAACTTAAAAGGAGACCTGCTGGAAGAGAGTTAAAAGTCCACATGATTCCATATTGTCTTTAGAACAACCCCATCTGGGCTCTCAAGATTGTGTAGGGAATAATCAAACTGGCACAGGGTTTCTCAACCTTGCTGGCCGGGGAATTCTGGGAGTTGAAGTCCACCCATCTTCAAGTCGCCAAGGTTGAGAAACCCTGGATTGACAGGTAGACTTCCTTTGAATAAGGAAGTTCTGCTTCTCAGGGCTTGCCCGTGGTGTTAGAGGTAAGGCCAGCACTGCTTTTCATGATGCAACTGTGTTTGAGCAACTTCCTCACCCTGAACTGTCTATGCATGAATCAGATAATGAAGAGAAAATGCTTTCGCTTCCTCCTTGCCCTTTCACGTATGCAAATAAGCACCAGCATCCTTGTTTGCTGCTTGTTTTCCCGTGTGGGTGCAAATCAGGGCTTTACCCATCTCTATTTAAAGGACCTGCCCTTTCGGTGGTACCTACCGATCTTCATCAGGTGAAGTTCTGTCTGGGCCCCACAGCCCTTGTTGATAGCTCTGGGGCGGAAAGCCACAGCTGTGAAGCACCTGAGTTGCTGCTGTTGCAGGCTGTTGACGAAAACAATCTTTTGCAAGTAAGAACAAGTCTTGGCGGTGGCTGGAAACCAGTGGGATTTGCACATTCAGAGAAGCCACTGCAGCAACTGAAAACGGGAGAATGTTTGGGCTGTGTGCCTTTATAGCACAGCGTTGCCCTGAGCGACCCATTCCATGTATGTGTGTGTATATACATACACACACACACATAGCTTTTGTCTCCCTCTCCCCAAAGCTTTTGGATAAATGGTCAAGAGAGAGCCCGTAATGACAGGTGCGCTGGGCGGGTTCAGCCTACAAGATCTTCTCAGCTTGGCCAACGCGTCATCTGTAGCCACACGGGCTTCTCAGCCTAACTTACCTCGCGGGGTGTTCATTAGATTAAACTGGAGCTCCTTGGGTCATATTTATCACAGTCTTATGAACTGTGCTGGCATCCATTTTTGATGAGCATCGGTATATCAATAGCAGCTCATATTCATTTTACAGTAAGAAAGGGCAGGATTTAAAAACAGCAAATTCCCTGTTGGAGAGGCATGTCATAAACTATTTAACAATGATGAGATCTCCACATTAAAAAATGTAGCAAACCTTCAGAGAGGTGGGTGTAATCCTTTGAGAAAATTAGGAAGATTGGATTATGTATACAGAAGACACTGGCTGAGTTCACGTACACTAAGTTTTAGGTATGATTTGCCGGAGGAGCCATGACAAATAACTCCAAGCCATAAATTGCAGTTTACGTGGTTCACACGTTACTCTAAGCCAAAACCAAACCACGTTGCAATTTCAGAAGAACTTTTCCACTTCTACTAACCTAACCCAGCATGGGAGAAGAGCTTTTGAAAATCTTCAGCATTATAAAAGCATTGAACTTATAGAGCTGCCATTTTGATTCATTGCAAATTATACACGGTGACCATCAGTGGATGGTGGCTCATGATTATCCCAAATAATATAATTTTCAGACCTTTTGAAAACATATATTTGGTTAACCTTTTAATCCTATCAAAGCAGCCTTGTCAAACAGGGGCATAATTGTGAGCAGTGAATCCCATATTTTCCTCTGTGTTTGAGGGTCCATTCCCAGGGCTAATTCTGTCTGCAAATATGGTCATATCCTGTACAGTAATATAGACCAGTGCTTCTCAACCTTGACCACTTTAAGGTGGTGGACTTCAATTCCCAGAATTCCCCAGCCAGCATGCTGGCTGGGGAATTCTGGGAGTTCAAGTCCACCCATCTTAGAGCTGCCAAGGTTGGAAAACACTGATACAGACATTTGATTGGGTTTGTTATTTATTGCTTTTGTCTATGTCGATAGAAACATTATCCAAGTAGAATTACTTGCCAACGATTCCTTTGTTTTGTTCAATATGAAGCCTAGAAACCAAGACACCATCAATGATGCTTGATTCTCCTTTCTGTCTCTGCTGCATTCCCCCTGTAAGATTTGTTGGGGGGTGAGGTATAGATCTATCCTTTTTGAGCTGCAAGCTCTCTTCCCCCATTGCAAAGAAAGAGCTAAGTGTTGTTAGACTTTATTTTTAACGTCTGCATCTCCCCCCTCCTGCCCCAGTCACCACTCGCCTTATCGTCTTCTCCAGTTCTGAGTATTTCTTACCATAGAGGTGATTAAGTGTAACGAACACACTTCTCCCCCTGACACATGCCACACTGTAGGCCCCCGGATGCCTTGGTTTGCCCTCAAAAAAAAAAAAATTTTTTTTTTTAAATTCTTGGCAGGGCTTCCTTCTGTGATTTGACAGAGCTGTTAAGTTTGTGTGGGTTTCCTTTAAAAAAAAAAAAGGCTTGTTATATGTAGAGTTTTGCTGGGGAAATAGGCGGGTCACTAAACATGGAATTTTTTCATCTCACTTCTTAGCGTCGCCCACGGCTCCTTGGTTTCCTGTGAGTACATGACTGTTCTGGCCACCTTCTGAAGTTCATCTTTAGCCATCTCTTTGCTTTTGTCCTTGATTTTTTTTCATTTTGGGTTTTCTTTATTAGAAGAGCTACTTCTGTTTCTCCTTGTGAAGAGAGATATTTGCAAGTTTCCAAGAATGGCACCTGGGAACAAGGCCCTTGGTCACTTGATCTTGATTAAAATCAGGAATCTGGTAGCCCTTTTTCAGGCTAAGAAGAGGTTCTGCCTTTTAATAAAATGGGTTAGTCTGAAAAGGTACTACTAGACTCCTCCTGATTTTTGGCTCCCATAGACCAACATGACTCTCCTACTAGGTCTTGATTAGGAATGTTGTTGGAAGGAAGACCTTTCCTTTCTGGATCATCTCCCAATGCCACTGCCAGTTTGCCCTCCCTTCCCCCACCCCACTAAGCTACGATGCCCAGTTCTTGATCCCATAATGCCCGCTGGGGATCTGTGGCCTTGCCTCATCCACCCTCACTACAGCAACTCAAAGACACCATGATACAAAAGCAAAGCATTTTGCTAAGTGCTTATCAAGGATTATCTGCTTGGCCAACTCTCCAGCCCTTGCTTTGGATACCCACGTCCATTCCAGATGAGGTAGTAAACTAGTACACCAACTACTACTGGTGAGAAGAGCATGATTAATAAATTTGTTGAATGAATGAATGAATGAATGAATGAATGAATGAATGAATGAATGAATGAATGAAACGCTTAAAGTCTGATAGGTAAGCCAGACCTAGAGAACTGAGAATGCTGAAAATAATTGCCCTTATCAAAGGAAAAGACAACGCGCCCGGTCAAGATGGTAGGAGTTTCAGAATCAGGTTTGCTGGCAGAGTAGCTAAAATGCTGCCCCACCGCAAAGAATTTGATTGCTTCCATTCTTTCGATAGTTGGATAAGGCACATTCATGTTGCTAACCAGAAGGTGACAGTCCTAAGTCTTCTGCCGTAATTTATTTTTATTTATTTATATATTTATTTATTTATTTCTCTCCCGCCCATCTCCCCTACAATAGGGGACTGGGCGGGTTACAAAAACATTAAAACTATAAATATATATAAAATACATAGCATATATACAGTTAAAACAATACTAGAAACAAAAAATCCAAAAAGATTACCATTAGCATGTTGGATTTTAAATTTATTACTGTATGTCGATGATCGGCTTTATTTTTAATTATCCAGGAAGGTGAAAGAACCATCCTGAAACTGAATCTGATGACAAATCAATCTATGAGTCATCACATGCAGCAGAATTAAGCAGGAAGTTATGGCAGAATCCAGATGTGATGGAATTATGTTTCCTTCCCCGAACTTTTGGTCTTTGATCTTTTTTTGAACATAAGGTGCGCCTGCATGATAATTTTTTGTCTCTATGATTCCATCGTTTCAGTCTCCTGTATGGTAAGACAAGCCTAATTCAAGTTCTGGCTTGGAATTGTGCTTAAATATGGCTGGGTCTTTTTAAGATGGTGGGAGATCCTTAAGCAAAATATTCATCTGAGCCCTGTTTTGTTTTCACAGCATCCTGTGTCGCTCTCCATCATTTTTTGTCTATTGAAATAAATGGTCCGGTATATAGGGAAACCCCAAAGAGTAAACTAAGAATTATATTTTCATTGATAATGTAACCACCTTGAATAAAGCATACAGATCCATGCATGAATAATAACCATTGAACCCCATTTTGCAAGGATGAAACCTCCAGATGTGAAGCTCAGGTCAACTGATCAACTGTGTCCCACCCCTCCGCTCCACAGAATTGGTGGTGTGTCTCTGAGAAGGGATCAACCAAGAGGATGCCTTACGTGGGAATTCAGTGCAATCGTACTGGAATTCTACCAAGGCGTTCCCCCCCCCATATATTTTGTAACTTTGCTCAGTTCTTGCTGTTCCTACTTGCAACTACTGAATCATCCGCCGTCCTCTCGACCGAGACATCTCTTCCAATGCAAACAGTTTCCGAAGTGTTGAATGCAAATTAACTTCCTTGGCGCAGGGGTTTTCAGCTGCAAACTTTGGCCCGGTTTATCAATCTTCACATCTGCAACTCCCCTTTCTGTATCATAAAACCTACTCTGTGCACGCCCTTCTGTACCTACTCTCTTCTTAGCTCCGCCAGACAGGTTAGATCAGATAACCTAGAATTCAAACAGCAACCAGAAAGAGCAGCTCTGAACAACGTTTCCTAAATCAGAAGCTGAGCCCAAATGAGTGAAAGTCATGCCATGGTGGTCCCCCCACCACCACCACTGCCCCACTCTGCTTTTCTCCTCTTTGGCCCAGGGCCACACCCGTTCCAAAAAGGCACAATGCCAAAGGAGGCCAACTGCAAGTGTTCCGAGCTGGAAACAGAGAGGCAGGAAAAGAAAATCTTTGGGTTTTTTTGGTGTATTTGTATGTGTGTTGGTTGCGTGGTTTGTGCATTTTAAGCACGCGGTGAACTGAAGAGCAAAGTCCTAAAATGAAAGTGTTGATTTTGAGGATGCTAAAAACACACTCAGCCCCCAAGGGTAGACAGAACATCTTTTCAGACTCTTTTCCTGTGTCATCAGGTACTCTAGTTCAGGGTTCCTCAACCTTGGCACGTTTAAGATGTGTGGACTTCAACTCCCAGAATTCCCCAGCCAGCCATGCTGGCTGGGGAATTCTGGGAGTTGAAGTCCGCACATCTTCAAGTCGCCAAGGTTGAGGAACCCTGCTCTAGTTTATATTATTCAGACCTCCCCCTGAAGATTTATTTATTTTTAACCTATTTAGGCAATTTCTAGAGCTGTCCATCTTAGTCCCAGGGACTCTGGGCAGTGAACAATGTCAATCATTCAAACCATTCCAAATTGTTGAGGTGCTGTAAACTTTCAGACTGTAAGAGCCCTCCTTGTTCCTGCTCCTGCTGCCTCTTTCCTTCCCCCACCCCAACCCCGGTTTGCCAATCTAGTTCTCCAACATTGGGGGAGGATGAGTGGCGAGCAGCCGGGAGCGTCCTTTAAAAGTTTGAAAAGTTCACCCCCAAGGAGCTCAACCAGTTTGGCTGAATTGGATTCCCTGCAGTGTTTCGTACACCTTCCACCTGACCTTCCAGCGATCAAGCCAAAAACTCTGCTGGAAATTTCCACGGAGCAATGAGTTTGCACCAGCTCCCTGATTGTGCCAAGATCTGAACCTAAAACTGCCAGGTTTTCAAGGGCACAGCTCGACATTCGCTCCCAGTTTGGGCATCCGCTTCCTTTCCGTTGAAAGTAATGGAGTTAGAGTCTTATCTGGCAAGGGGTTATTATGAATAATGTCTAATATAAGTCTAGATATCCCACGTGGGACTTCGAATGTTTCTTACCAGCCTGGCAGAGAAACAGAAGCAATAAATTACAGAAGTAATAAATTAACAAGTTATGAGTGGGACCCGGGGGTGTCTGCAGGGTGTGAGTCAAGACAGTGGCTGTGATGGCCCAATCAAAATTCTGCCCACTGTTTATGTATGTCATACTATTCTGGCCATCAGTTTGATTTATCATATGCTATGGCAGTGTTTCTCAACCTTGGCAGCTTTAAAATGTGTGGACTTCAACTCCCAGAATTCCCCAGC